AGCTGGGAGGTATCTGGTGAGCTACCACTGCAATCCACTCCATTCCAGTGATGGCTTGCAGAGAGCACAGTGTATTACCAATGGGTAAATTGTTCCTTAGAGATCAGCATCAACTGCTAATGGTAGGGACTGTTCCACTTTGCATCAGAGCTGAGTACTCCATGTGCAAGTCCCATGAGCAGAACGGATCCTACTTCCCACAGTTGCATCCATATTCTCATGGTCACCTACTGGCAAGCACCCAGCATTAACATCTAAAGCAAGAGAAAGTCCATAGCTACTCAGAGACTTTTGTTTTTCTCTTACCACATCACCTGAGCTTTTGCACCAACTTTTTCAAGGGGAAGAAAAAGTTAAAGAAATGAGATGCAAAGGGTGACCTTCCCAATAAACTCTGTAGGCAGAAAACGAGGCTGAAGAGCAAATTAAAAAGTGCCAGCAAGAGGTCACCTGGAAGCACAAAGGAGCGACTGCAGCTATTGCCATGCAGACTGTTTTATGCTGACCTCAGGTTAGGCCTGCCCACTACTGTGTGTGGAGTGCTGGAAGTAAAAAGGGGTCTGAATGAGGTAGATATGCATGTATGGTGCCTGATTATTGATCTTGGAGAAACTCTGACATTCAGTGGGAACAAAGCTGCATTCTGTGAGCAGCAGTGACTCCTAAAGCTGGGAGCACCTCCATCCTCCCTGCAGTTCTCAGTCTCACCAAAATGACAGATGATATTGAAAGCCTGCAAATAAAATCCTCCACAATACATCCATATCCAGCCCATTTTAGTGATCAAATTATGGCAAGTGCTTCCCATTTTCACACACAGCATCTATTTTCACAAAGGGAACAGAGAGCATTAACTGAAGTTGCAAATACTCCCTGACTTCTAGAGGGTGTTTTTTTTAAATTTCCTTTCTCAGTATAAAAGAACATCTTTTAACTTGCAAGTTGTAGTCATTTGTCTTTATGATGCCAGCTGCTGACCACAGGGAAAAGGTCACCGCTATTACCAGTGACAGCATCCCAGCAGAGCTTCCTCTCTTAGCATTTTTCCTCCTTCATTCCTTCCTTCAACAGAAGGTCAGACATCATCTCTCCTCCAGGGAGGAGAGACTGCTAACATTTCCTCTTTCCATTAGGAACAGTTAATGGAAATGGCAGTAAATCACCCTTCATATTCTCATACAGACAGAGAGCAAAGACCATCTGCTTGCCTGGATCTCCATGAAGAGCCATAAGACAAGGGACAGAAGCTTTCTTCTTCACACGAACATAAATTTTGAATCCACAGCATGACTAAATGTCATGGCACAAGCCACTTTCACTGAAGCTTAGAGGAGATGCTGTTGAAGTCTTCGTGTCGCAGAGAAGGACAGGGCAGAGGGAAGTTGCAGTAACTGGATGCCCATATCGTTCCCCACTCAGGGGTCTCCCAGCACAGCCTCTGCTCTGGGTGCCCCACATTGGAGAAGTGGAACTGTATCCCAGCACTGGGTCCTCCCTCTGTTACATCTTTATTCATTATTAGCAATGTCATATCAACATCTAGTCCTCTCACAGATACTAAAAAGAACTTACAGTCTCAGTGCAACATACAAGAAGCAAAACCCAGGTGGAAGGGTTGACTGAGATGATGGGCTGGTAACAGGCCTACTGCCTTGAGACTACACTGCTAGCAAGCCCTAGGAGACACAACCACTTCCCAGGCTTGCAAAGCTTACTGTGTCTTCTGGAATTGGACCAGTACATAGAGAATAAGGCTGAGGTTGGGCCTGAACAGCCTCTGCCTGTGCAAGGAGGTGCAGAATAGCATCATTCCACACACAGACTGTGGGGAAACATGATGCAATACAATAGGAAAGAACTAAAATACCCATCCCTTGTTTGCCTTTCCCAAACACATTCTGAAATCCGCAAGGTAATAAAGAAGACAAATCCAGTCATATGGTGAAATGATGGGAACGTGCAAAACTTTGAAAGTCTGACAAACAGTGGTGGTGGTAAAACAGTGAGGTGCCAACTGTGGAGCTGGGCTAACGAATTTCCTTATCTCAGACACTAATATAAAGCAATCACATAGTGGCAATACAACATACTTGCAACCCTACATCACTGTTCATTGTGTTTTTAAGCAAAGCTGATGCTTGTTTTTTTATTACTTCATTTTTGTTACTATAAAGACATTTCATCTACAAGGTACGTGGCACAAATAAGATCCACACAGGTTTAAATGGAAGTATATTTAAATAGGTTATGGTTAAATAGTGTCTAAGTAGCTGACAGGTTATGCTTAACATGTTTGAATAGGCTATTTACTTTTTTTTTTCAAGTTTAGTACTTAATCAAACTGTCTGCTTGGCAGTCATAGAAAACTGTCTCCAAGGCAATAGGACTCAGCCAGAAGGCAGCAAAATTGCCTTTTCCATTGCTTGTGCAGTGATGAAAACAGCACACTGAATTTTGACACATACATCGGCCACTTGGTCACATCAGGGACACTGTCTGTCCTAACATGCTTTATTTCTTTTCTATTCAACAAGCAATTTGGAAAGTCAGCTTCTGGCCAAGTGTATCAGTTAGTCCCATAGCCACAGTGCTGATGCCTCCTCATGTCCCTGATGCAATGCAGGCTGCTCAAGCATTACCTGAATGCTTGGCTTCATCACTGCTGAGATACATCTAGTGGTGCAGAGCAAGAAGTGTAAGCACTGTTTCTGCTTTTCTAATTAAAACATCTTTCTCCAGTGAAAAACTGTTCTGCAAGGCACCTGCAAGCAGTCTTCATTTGGAAAGAGTAGACTTAAGTATTGAAAAGTGTCTAGGATCTGTAAGTGTCTCACTGTGTGTTATTCCCACAACTTTCAGCTCATTGGGAATTAATCACACACTAAAGGAACCTTTGTTTTTACCAGAGGTGCTTTCATACTTATCAATTACACCTATCTACCAGCACACTGAAAAACGTGGGGCTTAAGAAAGCAAAATGAGTTTCTAAGCAACACCAGGAGGTGAATAGCCAATATAGCTTTAAAGAGATGGAGTGTTTGCAGGCTGAAAGTCATAAGTGATCACTGACTAACCACAAACAAAACATATGGATTTCTTTCCTCTCACTTTCCTGACCCTTCTCAGAAATATATGAGACAGAACCATCCTGTGAAGAGTAAACGAGGATAGGGAAGACAAATATAGAGCGGCTTCTCAGGAATATTGAAATTAAAGGCTGTTGGGCATTGGTACATACTCAGGTACGCACAAAAGAAGGGTGCTGTTGGAAAATAAAAAGGCTGAGGAAGAGGTAGGAAGCAGGGTATTTTGACCTGCAACTAAAGATGGAGATTTCCTATGAGCAACCTAATTTCTTCCTTGTTTCTCTTAAGACATCATGGCTTGCTCTGTTGCTTTTACTTCGGTGAAGCTTTGAGGGTTCCTGAGATTCCTTTGAGGACTTGCACTAAAATAATGAGACAAGAAATCCTTCAACCTACCTAAACTCATCCATTGCAGGCACTTAGCTCACCATGTCCCTTTGATCCCATATGACTGCGAGAGAAGGTGGATTTGAAAGACAATATAAAGTGTAAAAAAAAAAAAAAAAAAAGCCCTGAATTTCTTTTCTCTGAGGCCAATTCACTTTGTGCTACATTTTCTCTGAAATAGCCTCTAAAACTGCAGATAAGAGCCTGGACTTCATGCTTCACTCGGGGAATTCTGTTTTTATAGCTACCTTATAAATACTTTTCTTATTTTAAAACCTGCAAAAGACACTGAGGAGACACAACCTGTCTCAGCCCTTGCAAGGAAAATACAATTAATAAATCAAATCTCTCCATGGCCTGAAACAAGAGCTCCACAGCACCTTGGTCATGCAGGGGGCTGGCATGGAACCAGACCCCAGCTCAGCTCTGGCCAAGCAATTCCCCTTCCCAGACCTTGGTTTTATCTGCTCAATTCTGATTATTATGAATCTCCATTTCAAGGAGATACCCATGCAGAAAATTTATAGAAGGCTTAGTCAACCTCTGCCATTAATGGATCTTCACATATGGTAAGCATCCCTCCCTGCAGAACCTGGCTCCATAGCCCTTCTCTGCCTTTGGCCATCATCCTTGGGATCACAATTCCTGTCCTTGCTTGCTGGCTTCAGTCAATCTTTTTCTCCAGGATTTACCTTCCCTCCTCTCTCATATAACAGGCTTGGAATAAAAGCTACGATTCAGCCTGAAGACCTCTCCAAAAAAAAAGACTGAAAGTTCTGACCTTTGGCTAAGGTCTCCAGCCTTCAGGACCCCCAAGGAGGGGCTGTCAGATGTCACCCCTTTCCTCCTGCTCCCTCCTCCAGCCCTTGTTACCCACTACATCATGATTAGTCCCCCCAGGTGGTGATGCTGTGACCGCCTGGATACAGGAGGTGATGCCTTGCAACAAGACCACAGCATTTTGCTTCATTGCTCCCAGCCTGCAGCACCTTAAAAATATTGCTTGCAGAGCTGCCCTTGGAAGGTGAATCAGGCAGAGCTGCTGGTACCTGTGGTCAGACCTCTCCCTCAGCCTAAGTCATTAGACAGTTTAAAAGCTATTGAACATTGGGGCAGGTTTTGGCAGGATTACTGCTGCTCAGGCCATAATCTCCCTCCCTCTCATTTGTTCTCATTTGCTCTGGAGAGCAGCGTTCATGACAACTCCATGGCAGCCCCATCCTTCAAAGACCAGTGGCCAGATAAACAAACTGGCCTACCAGGTGCTTCAGCAGCAGGTCTCAGCCAAGAAAGAAGAGCACCTGGGTCCTTGTAACAGCCAGTATAATGCTCAGGATGGGGCAAAACCACCTCCTCCCTGCCAGGTTACAAATGTTGGCAGTAGCGGCTACTCCAGGGGTCAGCCTAGATGTTGAGGACCAACATCCCAGGGAGGAAAGATGCAGCAGGGCAAGCACAACAGGAATGCAGCCATTGCAGGGAAAGGGAGAAAAAAATAAGACAATTTTCAGGGGAAATTCTCTCTTTAATTTCAGCTCTTGGATCAAATTCAAGCAAGGAAAGAGGAAGCAGACAACCAGAGAGCTGCTGGGAAGGCACATCCAAGCATGCTCAGTTTATTCTAGCTACAAGTTCTGCCATTATGATGCGAGGTTTCCTCTGTGACTGTTGCCACCACCCCCATCTGCTGTGATCTAAACTACAGAAACCTCCTCGAGTGGGTGTGAGCAAGAGCCGAGGAAAGGCTCTGTTGTGCAGCTATCACACTGTGTTCAGGCTTGATGCTGTGGGATTCCTCCCTCCCTTCCCTGGTTGGGCTATTTGTGGCAGTCCTAATTAAGTAGTGCAGAAATGAGATATTACGATTTTGCAGTATAACCTATGCTTGATTATCAAGTGAATTTGGCCTTTGTATTAAGTTAACCAAAGTGCAATAAATTCCTAGAAGAAGAAGCAGCCATTTTTACAGCAAAGCAGGAGCATTCAGAGGAATTTGTCCCAGATTAATTAGATTTCAAAAGCAGGTTTAAATGAGCTTTAAATCTCTAATCTGTCAGGGAAGCCCAATATTTCATCCCTGCGCCATGTGACGATAAATAACTTTAATGCTTACTCCCCCACACATAGCTCCCATCTTCCCAGGGCTGGGCGAGTGGTGTATTTATGTTATTGATTGGAACAAGAGCTTAGGCTGCCACTCAGTTTAAAGGATCTACCTGTGAGCAATCAATCCTGCTCAGGTCCATCTCCCAGCCAGAGCGTGACCACCACGTCCCCAGCAGCTGCACATCCCTGCTGGGAGAGCTGCAGACCTTCAGCACAGCAATGCAGATTTGGGCTCCCAGCCAGACCACGCTGTTATTCTCCCCATAATGATTTAGGCACAGGGGAGCTCTGCGTGATCTTCATCACTCACAAAGGGGAAAACGATGATAAGAACAAAGGCTTGCTCCTTCCCTTCAGAAAACTCCTCCAGGCAGGCATAGCTCAGCTCACAGGTATATCCCCAAGCAGAGCTGCAGCCCTGACCTTCCAGACACGTCTCAGAAGTGGGATTTTGATGGGGTGGGGAATACCTCTGAGCAAGACCATTACACTCTCATTTCGTTATCTAACAGTCTCTAGCAGTGCAGCAACAGTATAAAGAGGTTGGGGGCTGATTTAATTTGCCAGAGATTTTCATCTAGGTAACTGCAAGAACAGGGCTATGATTTCTATTATGTGACGCAGCAGCTGCTCAACCCCAGCTCTGGGACAGCCCTTGCCCATAAAAAAAACAACGAGGCACTCGTTTATATCAGTTGCAGTTTTGTTTCAGAAAGAAAATAAATTCACTAATATAGCAGGACAAATCCCCCCTGACACATACATAGAAACAGCTGCTGAGAGAAAAATAGAAATGGGAAACTGTACAGTATTACAAAGGAACAGCAAATACTTCTGCATACTGCTAGCAAGCCAAATCATGTCATTGAGGCCTGAACTGCTCATATTCTAGGTAAACACAGCACTTTGGCTGATACCACTTTTCTGACCTTCAAGACGACTCACATGTATGTGTGCACAAACGTGCACCATTGGACCTAATTCTGACTGAGTTACATCCCCTGCATTTCACTGCTGGTTTGCGTGGCTCCTATAAAGACAAAACCCAGCTGATTCCTGCTCTGAACCTGAAGAGAGAAGCCTGCCTGTCACAACTGGCTTGCCTGGAAACGCACTGGGATGATCTGGGATTGGGTGAGATGTCCGTAGTCCTCAGGCTCTGACCCCCACAGGGAGAGGGGTGCTCAGTGCCATGCCCTCCTCACCACCAGCTCTCAAATCCTCTTCTGGACCAGCATCAAGAAACAGGCTAGGACTGCAGCAGAGAGAATTCATAAACTGTTCCTAATGTCCAACCAAGCAAAATGTACAGAGAAGCATTAGAATTGTACATTCATAAGGAATTGAGATTTTACAAAGATCTTCCAAGAGCAGTTTAGAAAAGCATCTGTCACAGCAACAGCAAGGTGAGTCTATCCTGTCTTTAAACAGGAAGAAAGACACAGATTCATGGCCTTTCCAACCCAATTTTCTAAAACCACTGTAATTTTTCTTGTTAGTGCTTGCTTTACTGAAATGGAGCAGTTTCTCATCTTTCTTGAATGTATTTTTCCAAAGACAGAGCAAAGAAAAAGAGGCATTTTAATTGCAGTCTTCCCCATTCACATCCTTTCCATCTCCCTCAAAAGAGAAAAACAGTCAAGTCATCTCTTCCCAGCCACACTCTCCCAAGAGGTTTTTGCAGCGAGGAAAGAAACAAATCCATTAAAAAAGCAATATTGCTTTTCTTATTGGAATGAAAATAACTAAAAAAAAGCTCTTTTCCTCACTGAAAAATAAAGAGGGGAAGGAAGGTGCAGGAGACAGGCTTTATGGCAGTGAGTTCATCACAACTCCAGGGTTAACTTTGGAGAAGGGCATGAGCTGTGTGCCCAATAACTCAGAGCAGCGCTGTAGGTTGGAAGTTTTGCCATACAGCAGACTCCCACAACCTGCTGAAACTTTGATGGGCACACGGAGTAAAAGTAATTTCCCTCCCGAGTAAATTAAGCTCAGGTATTTTTTAAAGGCTGCAGAACTGGCTTAAAAAAAATCTCTTGAGTAGCAGCTTCAAATGTTTTATTCAGACATTTTACATTTATGCTATAGTTTGCAACAATCCAGGGGCCTTAATAATGCTGTTTTGTTTTATTATTCCAAGACAGTTGCCAAATCAAAACTGGGGGCCAGATTTTCCTAATACAACCTGAGAGCTGAGGTTTTCTTTGGGATCATATTGAATTAATTCTGAAATGTAATCATGCAAACTCTTTGCAAACATTGACTTTGTGTCTCCATTTTGCTGCTGGTCAAGAAGAATGGACTGAAACCTTTATAGACACATATACACACAAAGTAATTGCATGTTGGTTTCTTTTTCTGGCTGATTCCACATAAAATCCCTTCGCAAATAGTGATTTGCAAATCCTAGCAAGAGCTGAAAGCACTAATTGACACAAGCTGAATTATAGCAGAAAAACTGGACTGGAACCATAACTACACAGAAGTGTGTCTGCCATCACTCTTAAGCTACACCCAGCCAAATTAAGGTGTCCAGAAGGTGCTAAAAACTCAGATGCAAGCACAGTCCACAGCCATCAATCACATTTTCTAGGCTAGCCAGAGGTTTAGGCTGGAACATTTTTCTCCTCCCACCCATAGTTTGGATGACTGGCAAAGCTGTTAGATTTCACCTGATCTTTTCATTGCTTGGCAAAGCCTAGAAAGCAAGCCCAGAAATGAAGGAAATCGATTACAAAATAGAATCTGGTTTCAAGGTGCCACTGGTGCAAGTGCTGAACAGACTCACTCACAGGTAGCCCTTTGGAATGCAGGCTGGATCTCACAGCAGCACATAGCAGAGCAGTGAGGAATTCCAGGGACCACAGCACACTAATTGCTGCTGTTTCCCTCTCATTGTTTTCCAATGAAGACCACAGGAAACGCTGCTACTTAAGAAATAAGTTATTAAAGGAGACACAGCCCCGAGAAAACCATTTGTGTGTTCTCCTGAGGATTTGGCTGTTGTGACTGCCCAAGATAAATGACGTGCTGCAGAAAAACAGAGAGAAGGGAGTCCCCACAACAGCACTAGAGCAGATTTATTCAAAACAACTGAATAATCAGTCTGATAGAGTAAATTTTATTATGAGCTACTGAATCACAAGGAAGAGTCTGAAATACTATGGGAGGAAGGGACAGGCAGCTGCTGACTTACAGCTGACTAACAACGTGTACCTTCTCAGGCTGTGCTTCTTCTGTTTGCAACTGTCTCAAGAGGTTTTTAGTTCAACCTTTTTTTTTACCCTTTTCACTGTACACATGCTCTCAGCTGGAGCAAAATGAATTATTTGTAACTATCAAGGTGAAAATTAAAAAGCACCAGCAAAGCTTGCCTAACATCTTAACGTATTCCACATCTCTTCCAAACTCATATTATCACTCTGAGCAGAACAGCATAATCAATCCTCCTACATCATTTTCAGTGCTGAAAGAAGTAGCCTTTCCATTTACTTTTCATAGTTGAGATGTTGTACGCTTGCAATCCACCAGAAAGTTCTTAAAACAAGAAAATGCTTTTTGTTCCTTTACCCTGGCACTCATCCTTCGTCACAAAAACCAGCATCAACAAGACCCTGCAAAGTCATTACCTTCACATGCTCTCAAATATCCGGTACCCAAGGCTCTATTTTCTGAAAATGGCACTGAATTCAGTGAGCTTGCTCCCACGAGTAAGGACAAATTGGTGAGTTTACTTGAATGGCAGTTCCATGTACTGATATCTTCACCCTGAGCTAGCTGTCAAAGATAGCTGAAATGGTTCCAGTCTAAGTAGATTAGGTTTCTTCTATTCTGAAGAAAGACAGCTAAGGAAAATAAAATATCCATAAAATCAGGAGTGGCGTGGAGAAGGGGAACAGGTGATGACTGAACACACACTCTCTCAAAACAAGAATGAAAGGGTTTTGGATTAAACCACCATAAAAACAGCTTCAAAACAATGTAAAGGAGGAGATTCCTCATAAGTGTGTACTGCAGCAAGGGAAAACCTTGTCCAGGATGTTGAGGATGGCAGAGACAGATTAAAACCAGAAACATTTCATTAAAGAAAAACGTACAAAGAGCCGCTAAAAACAAAAACACTGCCTTCATTTTATGAAAGCATTGAAGCACACACTGCTCGAAGAAAAAGAATATTTGGAGTACTAACACTACCCTTGCCCCTATGCTGCTGTAAATGAGACACTGGACTTGATTATTCTTATATTCTTACAAATGCCTTTGGACAAGACAAAAGATCACTGGGAGAAATAACAGGTTTAGGGGATGTTGTTATTGAACACTTACAGTATTCTGATAAATAAGGAAGAGGAAGAAGTACTCACTTGCAAAAACTTCACAATGCCCTTTCCAAAAATGCAATCATGTTCTTGTTCCAGCAATTACTTCAATGTTGTGCCATGGACTCCTCATTATACTTTTGAGTGAAACTTGCTCTGAAATGCTATTATACTATACAACACTCTCGTTCTTTGTGTCCTCAAAGAAACCTGCTGACCTGAGTGAAAGCACACATTTCTGCTCCTTTGAACTCATTCGCCTTATAAATGAGGTGCTTTACTCTCTCATGTGCCATCAAAATAACCAGTTGATAGTCACATATCTGAGGAATGCATTCCTGAAGGCATCAAGAGTTGCACAAGGAGTTTGTGCTCAGCCTGCAAGAGCTTTCTTGGTAAAGAGAATTCAGGAGAAGGAGCAGACATAGAACGGCTCCCAGGAATACCTCATAGTAATAATAATCTACTACATTGCTCGTATGGAAACAGGTATTTTTAGTAAAATGTCAGGCATCACTAATAGCTTGTTTGTTTATGGAAGGCCCTCAGTAGTTCAAAAGCACAGCTATCAAATGAACATACATTCAAACACAATTGCATATACAAACCGTGTTGGAACTACAGTATGTATGCTGCTCCTGCTCCTACTACAACCAGCATCCACAGCATGAGTCCTCCCATCCCTCACCACACAGCCCCACTCAATTAAATTGCCACTGGGCAACTACAGATTGCTTCTTACATATACAGAGTCAAAGAAATACATATATAAATAATAATAATTAAAAAAAATTGGCTTTTTGGGAACAAAAATTAGGAGAGATTTCCCAGTTTCTTACAGAGGAAAGGATCTGTTCAGTGCATCTGGGCAGCAAGACAAAGCTCTGACCCATTATTTCTCCAAGATATGGGAAGAGGAAAAAGGTGAAGTAATCCACAAAACTGCAAATAACAACAATTTCCTGGGGGTACTAAGGGATTTGGAGGGCTTAATGCAGACCTAAGGTGTCCAGATAATGCTTCATTTCTAGCCACATTTACATAACATAAGTGATGTCCCATTCCTCTCAAAGCTCTCTTAGCTCCACATGTGCTGATCTACAAAATTTCCTCCTAGAAAAACATTTCATTCATCACTGAGCTGTGATTCCCTCTTGGTTGGCACGCAGCACCTGTTCAACTCTTCAGTGCTTCAGGATGCAACAATCAAGAGAACTGCAGCAGGACAAAACAGGCTGAGCCCTCCAGGGATACTTTGGCTCTCACCAACACCCACATCAGTTTGGCCCTAAATAACTGCAAGTACCTGTGACAGTGCAATTCGGTTTGGTCAGCATACAGCAACAATCCTTTCTCCTTGCTGGGAGCGATGATCTTGACCAGGCTACAAAGCTGAGACAAAATCAATGTCACACCTGCTGTCAATAACAGCCTGCAGACAGAGCTATCAAGAGACGACCATAACACAGGTACTGAGTCTCCTTGCTCCTTTCTTGGGTGGGTTTGTAATGCAGAAGGCAACCCGAGATCCAGAGTAAGTCTAAGCGTTAACATTTACGTGTCCGCATCAGTGGACTCCAGATCTGAGTAATTCACAGCCAACTTCCAACTCACACAGCACTGAGCTTCTGCAAATCTGAAAAATTAAACTAATGGAACAAAGTGCACAGACAGACATTTCGGGACATAAATTACCAGATTGCTATGGCAACAACACAGGGTGAGTGATAACTTGGAGGCCATGACAACATATGCATTTTATAGGAGCAGCTAATTGTCTGACTCTGCTCGCTGACACCACAACATATTTTTTGCTAAATACCTTGGTATTTGAATTTTACTGCCTCCAGCCACTATTAACATATTTTGCATTTGTGCTTTGCATAAAACCTCAGTACTGTTTCTAGTTAAAGTTCCCAAACATACATTCAATTTATATTTAATGAGACAGTGTGAGTTAAGTAAATGAGAGCTAATTAATTAAAGCATATGTATAGTGGGCTGTGAGGATTAATTAGTTAATGTTTGCAGAGTGCTTTGAAAAATGTAAAGCACCGTATAAACATGAATGGTACTTTGGGAGAATG